GGATACGACGGATACAAGTACGGCTCCAGCTACTACCCGGACTACTACTCGTCCTACGGCGGCGGCGGTGACTTTGGCTACGGCTATGGTTACAACTACCCCGGCAACTTCGGCTATGCTAGCTACGGCTATGGCTACCCTGGTTACCCTGGTTACCCTGGCTACCCTGGCTACGGCTACGGCTATGAGTCCGCGACGACGGACGGTGCTGAGGCTGGCCAGAAGGAGTCCGCCACGGCGCCTGCTACCGCTACGGACGTTGCGTCCAACAAGTCGGCGGAGAAGGAGGACAAGACGCCGCCCAAGGAGAAGGAGACCACCAAGTCCGGCGCCACGGACAAGGCCAAGGGCAAGTAAGTGGAGTGAAGTGAAGTGAAGTGAAGTGAAGTGGAGAAGGCCGCTCGCTGGCGATGATGAAAAGTAGACGAGGGGCGTTCGTTGGTCATGGAGCAGCTAGCCCACGGAACCTGTAGTTCTGTAGAGTAACATGCGTGTAGTAGCGTCGATAAAAAAACTGACGGTGGTAGTAATACGACGTCAATGGTTGTCAACTTTCTCGCTGTACTCAGTTTGCTCGTCCGATGCGCTAAACCGTTTCGAACTCGAATGGTGACTTAGTAGAACATGTGGAGACGTTTGGCGTTTGGCACGCCCGATTTGGATGACCCTTACTTAAGTATACCGAACACGCTTCGCTTTGCTACCGGTAGTCTCATTTGACACTCGATAGCCTTTGCAGCCGTACCAAAACGCAGCTTGGATTTTTGTTTTTGTTTTTTGTTTTTGTTTTTCGGGTTGTCGGTGCATGGCCGACCGATGGCGCTGCCTGCTGAGAAGCAGCTATCAACACTCTCAACAATGAAACGACCACTAACTTTGGCCTGGATGGACATGATGCTGGCCCTATTGGAGAAGCGCTACGGCCCAGACGCCTCGCCGGCAGTGTACTGGCATTGCTTGTTGGCCGGATAGTGACAGCTTCAGCTAGATTGATGGTACGTCTGCATCGTAGGCGCGAGAGACTAGACTAGTTGACTAGTTACGGAGTGGGCGACGGCTGTGGATGCGGCCTCAAACCCGAGTGCCCCAAGCTCTCTCATCTTCCAATTCGCCTTCTCCGCCACACTCGGCCACCAACCAACCCCAAATCAACCCACCGAATCGCACGTTCATCTCTGACATGCACTCCAAGATCGTTGCCCTGTTCAGCCTGTGTGCCGCTGCCTCCATCCTGCAGGCGGCTGACGCTGGCGCTTCTCCTGTGGGCGTCTCGCCGCGCCGCCACCTCGGCTCCAGGGAGGACTACGGACACCACCCGCGCCACCACGGCCATGACCATGACCATGACCACGACCACGACCACGGGAAGAATCACCGCCACCACGATGACAAGCACCCGTCGCACTACTATTACCGTCGCCGTCTCGAAGACGCCAAGGCCACCGAGTCCAAGGACTACAAGGACGACCATGGCAAGGACGATTACGACTACGGCAAGGACCGCAAGGATCGCAAGGACGGCTACGAGCACAAGCGGTACGGCGATGACTACAAGGGATACGGCTACAAGAGCTACGGCGGAGACTGCGATGACTACGGAAAGGGTCGCCACGACAAGGACGACTACAGCTACGGCAAGGCCTACTACGGCAAAGACTACTACGGCAAGGACGACTACAGCTACGGCAAGGACGTCTATGGATACGACGGATACAAGTACGGCTCCAGCTACTACCCGGACTACTACTCGTCGTACGGATACAGCTACTACCCGGACTACTACTCGTCCTACGGCGGCGGCGGTGACTTTGGCTACGGCTATGGTTACAACTACCCCGGCAACTTCGGCTATGCTAGCTACGGCTATGGCTACCCTGGTTACCCTGGTTACCCTGGCTACCCTGGCTACGGCTACGGCTATGAGTCCGCGACGACGGACGGTGCTGAGGCTGGCCAGAAGGAGTCCGCCACGGCGCCTGCTACCGCTACGGACGTTGCGTCCAACAAGTCGGCGGAGAAGGAGGACAAGACGCCGCCCAAGGAGAAGGAGACCACCAAGTCCGGCGCCACGGACAAGGCCAAGGGCAAGTAAGTGGAGTGAAGTGAAGTGAAGTGAAGTGGAGAAGGCCGCTCGCTGGCGATGATGAGAAGTAGACGAGGGGCGTTCGTTGGTCATGGAGCAGCTAGCCCACGGAACCTGTAGTTCTGTAGAGTAACATGCGTGTAGTAGCATCGATAAAAAAACTGGCGGTGGTAGCAATACGACGTCAATGGTTGTCAACTTTCTCGCTGTACTCAGTTTGCTCGTCCGATGCGCTAAACCGTTTCGAACTCGAATGGTGACTTAGTAGAACATGTGGAGACGTTTGGCGTTTGGCACGCCCGATTTGGATGACCCTTACTTAAGTATACCGAACACGCTTCGCTTTGCTACCGGTAGTCTCATTTGACACTCGATAGCCTTTGCAGCCGTACCAAAACGCAGCTTGGATTTTTGTTTTTGTTTTTTGTTTTTGTTTTTCGGGTTGTCGGTGCATGGCCGACCGATGGCGCTGCCTGCTGAGAAGCAGCTATCAACACTCTCAACAATGAAACGACCACTAACTTTGGCCTGGATGGACATGATGCTGGCCCTATTGGAGAAGCGCTACGGCCCAGACGCCTCGCCGGCAGTGTACTGGCATTGCTTGTTGGCCGGATAGTGACAGCTTCAGCTAGATTGATGGTACGTCTGCATCGTAGGCGCAAGAGACTAGACTAGTTGACTAGTTACGGAGTGGGCGACGGCTGTGGATGCGGCCTCAAACCCGAGTGCCCCAAGCTCTCTCATCTTCCAATTCGCCTTCTCCGCCACACTCGGCCACCAACCAACCCCAAATCAACCCACCGAATCGCACGTTCATCTCTGACATGCACTCCAAGATCGTTGCCCTGTTCAGCCTGTGTGCCGCTGCCTCCATCCTGCAGGCGGCTGACGCTGGCGCTTCTCCTGTGGGCGTCTCGCCGCGCCGCCACCTCGGCTCCAGGGAGGACTACGGACACCACCCGCGCCACCACGACCATGACCATGACCACGACCACGACCACGGGAAGAATCACCGCCACCACGATGACAAGCACCCGTCGCACTACTATTACCGTCGCCGTCTCGAAGACGCCAAGGCCACCGAGTCCAAGGACTACAAGGACGACCATGGCAAGGACGACTACGACTACGGCAAGGACCGCAAGGATCGCAAGGACGGCTACGAGCACAAGCGGTACGGCGGTCACGACGACTATGACGATGACTACAAGGGATACGGCTACAAGAGCTACGGCGGAGACTGCGATGACTACGGAAAGGGTCGCCACGACAAGGACGACTACAGCTACGGCAAGGCCTACTACGGCAAGGCCTACTACGGCAAGGACGACTACAGCAACGGCAAGGCCTACTACGGCAAAGACTACTACGGCAAGGACGACTACAGCTACGGCAAGGACGTCTATGGATACGACGGATACAAGTACGGCTCCAGCTACTACCCGGACTACTACTCGTCGTACGGATACAGCTACTACCCGGACTACTACTCGTCCTACGGCGGCGGCGGTGACTTTGGCTACGGCTATGGTTACAACTACCCCGGCAACTTCGGCTATGCTAGCTACGGCTATGGCTACCCTGGTTACCCTGGTTACCCTGGCTACCCTGGCTACGGCTACGGCTATGAGTCCGCGACGACGGACGGTGCTGAGGCTGGCCAGAAGGAGTCCGCCACGGCGCCTGCTACCGCTACGGACGTTGCGTCCAACAAGTCGGCGGAGAAGGAGGACAAGACGCCGCCCAAGGAGAAGGAGACCACCAAGTCCGGCGCCACGGACAAGGCCAAGGGCAAGTAAGTGGAGTGAAGTGAAGTGAAGTGAAGTGGAGAAGGCCGCTCGCTGGCGATGATGAGAAGTAGACGAGGGGCGTTCGTTGGTCATGGAGCAGCTAGCCCACGGAACCTGTAGTTCTGTAGAGTAACATGCGTGTAGTAGCGTCGATAAAAAAACTGGCGGTGGTAGCAATACGACGTCAATGGTTGTCAACTTTCTCGCTGTACTCAGTTTGCTCGTCCGATGCGCTAAACCGTTTCGAACTCGAATGGTGACTTAGTAGAACATGTGGAGACGTTTGGCGTTTGGCACGCCCGATTTGGATGACCCTTACTTAAGTATACCGAACACGCTTCGCTTTGCTACCGGTAGTCTCATTTGACACTCGATAGCCTTTGCAGCCGTACCAAAACGCAGCTTGGATTTTTGTTTTTGTTTTTTGTTTTTGTTTTTCGGGTTGTCGGTGCATGGCCGACCGATGGCGCTGCCTACTGAGAAGCAGCTATCAACACTCTCAACAATGAAACGACCACTAACTTTGGCCTGGATGGACATGATGCTGGCCCTATTGGAGAAGCGCTACGGCCCAGACGCCTCGCCGGCAGTGTACTGGCATTGCTTGTTGGTCGGATAGTGACAGCTTCAGCTAGATTGATGGTACGTCTGCATCGTAGGCGCGAGAGACTAGACTAGTTGACTAGTTACGGAGTGGGCGACGGCTGTGGATGCGGCCTCAAACCCGAGTGCCCCAAGCTCTCTCATCTTCCAATTCGCCTTCTCCGCCACACTCGGCCACCAACCAACCCCAAATCAACCCACCGAATCGCACGTTCATCTCTGACATGCACTCCAAGATCGTTGCCCTGTTCAGCCTGTGTGCCGCTGCCTCCATCCTGCAGGCGGCTGACGCTGGCGCTTCTCCTGTGGGCGTCTCGCCGCGCCGCCACCTCGGCTCCAGGGAGGACTACGGACACCACCCGCGCCACCACGACCATGACCATGACCACGACCACGACCACGGGAAGAATCACCGCCACCACGATGACAAGCACCCGTCGCACTACTATTACCGTCGCCGTCTCGAAGACGCCAAGGCCACCGAGTCCAAGGACTACAAGGACGACCATGGCAAGGACGACTACGACTACGGCAAGGACCGCAAGGATCGCAAGGACGGCTACGAGCACAAGCGGTACGGCGGTCACGACGACTATGACGATGACTACAAGGGATACGGCTACAAGAGCTACGGCGGAGACTGCGATGACTACGGAAAGGGTCGCCACGACAAGGACGACTACAGCTACGGCAAGGCCTACTACGGCAAAGACTACTACGGCAAGGACGACTACAGCTACGGCAAGGACGTCTATGGATACGACGGATACAAGTACGGCTCCAGCTACTACCCGGACTACTACTCGTCGTACGGATACAGCTACTACCCGGACTACTACTCGTCCTACGGCGGCAGCGGTGACTTTGGCTACGGCTAT